GTTTTGAGAATAATAGACAGGGGTTCTATAGCCAAGGCAAACAACAATGGACTGATTGGACAGCCCAGACAGGTGCCCCTTGATAGATGAAAGTACTGTGAGCGTTTACCATTAGTGATTACACAGGCTTTGGGAGAGATATACAAAAGTTTAATCCACGAGACCAAATTGGGGCCATATCCAAATTTCTTTAAACATGCAAATAAATATCCCCATTCTACCCGATAAAAAGCTTTCTCTAACGTCATGCATTGGGGTTTCAAGGCGTAAGGCAAGGGCTTTGGCCAGGATCTTCACATCACAGTTTAGGAGGGAGATGGGTCTGTACGAGCTACACTCTTTGCTATCTTTACCTGGCTTTAGTAGGAGGGTAATTGATGCTTCAGTCAATGTCTGCGGGAGTGATCCATGGGACAGTGAGTCGTTAAACATATCAAGTAGAATTGTTGATAGTTTATGAGAAAACTTTTTAAAGAACTCTATGGGATATCCATCTGGGCCTGGTGCCTTGCCACTCTGCATTGATTTTATTGCAGTAATAATTTCCTTACAATTTAATGGAAGCTCGGATTCTGTCCTGTGATCTGTTGTTACAGAAGGAGCTTGGAGGTTATTAAAGAAAACTTCAATGTCAGAACAATTATTTGTCTTCTCTGAGGTATACAGATTTGAGTAAAATGAGGCAAATGTGTCCTTAATTTCTTCTGGATCAATAGTTAGGGTGCCATCTTCTCTACGAATTTGTGGGATTTGTTGAGAGGCAGAGTGGCACTTGAGTTGATGTGCTAATAAATGCCCAGCCTTGTCACTATGCTCGTAAACATACCGACGTGATTTTAATGGGAGACATTCTGTTTTTTCAGCTGATAGTAAATTATAAGGTGTTTGGAGGTCCAGTTTCCTCTTATAGAGCTTGAAGGGGGGAGAAACAGAGTATTGGGCATCCACCATTGATATAGCTTTAATAAGCTCCTCTTGCTTATTTCTATTAATCCTCTTCATTTTTGCTGAGTACGCTATGATCTCACCCCTAATCACTACTTTTAATGTTTCCCACAGGAGAGAAGGAGAGATATCATCTTTTTTGTTGAAATTTATAAAGTCCTCAATTTTTTGGGATATCATTTCACAGAAGTTCTTGTCAGCCAAGAAGTTTCTGTCTAGTTTCCAGGGAGGATATTGTAATTGATAGAGAGGAAATGTAAGATCAAGCAGTACAGTGGCGTGATCTGATTCTACTATTGATGAATATTCAGCTTTTTTGACAGAGGGAAGGTCTGTGCAGAACTTTCACTGCCAATAAATCATTTCCTGTTCCTCTTTAGGTCTTTTTCCTCTTCCAGATCCAATAAAAAGAAGTTCAATTCTAATCACTTTAGCAGCTGAATGTTTTTGCTGGGTCGGGAGTTTAATGAGGTAATTTCAGTCCAGAAAAGAAAAATTAACTGCAAAGTGGAATAAAAACCCAGATGACATCTGAACTACTGTTTCAGCCAGTAAATATCTGATGTCCCAGGATTTAAAATCACATTTTCACTAAAATACAGATATTGTAAAGAGACACAGAAAAATTAAACAATTCTGAACAAAGAACTAACTGAAAAATTCAACTTTTATTGTGTCAAATAGTGGAATTTGTTAAAGACTAATAACATTTCAGTACAAAGACACTAATTAGATGTTTTCATCACTAATTCACATAATAAAAACTGTTGATGAAACAGATTAAAATACCTTTATTCAAAATGTCACATTTACTTTAAAAATAAGCCTCAGAAAACTGGCAGTAAATCCTGTTTTATTTTCCAATATTTCCATCAGCTGCAGTTCAGCCACAGATAGTCTGGAATTATTCTTCATCAGAAGTTGTATTGGGAACTGATCTGGCTGATTAAAACATAGCAGATGCTAACAGTGAAGAACTGAACAACCAGCTGGGTAGTTCAAACAGCGTCATAATTTTCCATCACTAATTAGTTCCAGAAACCCAGAACTTCACAGCCCACAGATCCTGAGGAGGCAGCCTGTTTATCTGGGACTAATGAACAAAACTGTTCAGATCAGAGGAAGAAAAACTACATTAGAGACACAAAGAAGAAACAGGTCAGAAAAGCTTGGAGATAGAAATGTTCAATCTTCCTCTGACGGTGAAATTAAGAGCCAGGATCAAACATTTACTGGAAGAGATGGAAAGAACCAGAACAGAACCAGCTCCAGCAGCAGCATTGGTATAGCACTGGAAGCCCATTGGTGGAAAAACCCTAAATGAAGGTTTGAGTGGAAACAGAACCAAACCTTTGGATCCTGGAATAATCCCAGCTTCCATCTTTAAATGACTGGAGAGGACGGAGGTTACACGGAATCGTTTCCAGGAGTTTCAGAAAGAAACTGACTGAATGTGAAAATGCTTCTGTGAGAAAGAGACAGACATTTAGAGACTGATCTGTTCCACAGTGAGAGAGTTTCTCTGATAGGAGGAGACTCTTTAGACTCAACACAGAAACACTGAAGAACCAGAACCGACCCAGAATCCAGGATAAAGAGGTTCAGTGAATGTGGTGTTGAAGGTGAAGAGGTGGATCAGTGAGTCAGATGAGACTCTGTAGAAGGACAGAATGCCAGCAGGACAGTCCACATACACTGCTACTCTGTTAGAGACAGAGGAGGAGGGGATGAATGTTGTCTTATTGTGCCACACATAGTAGCCTTCATCACAGCATCTCAGACTCCACGAATGATCATTACATCCAAACCAACAGTCTTCACTGTCTCCTTTTCTCTTGATTCTTCTGTAACTCACTGATATATAAACTGCTCCTCTCCACTCGACCTCCCAGTAACAGCGACCAGTCAGCCCATCACTACACAGCAGCTGAAGCCAGTAATCAAATCTGTCTGGATGATCAGGATATGACTGAAGCTCAGCTACACATGTCACCTTCCTGTTGTCTTCAGACAGTTTCAGGTTTCTGTTCACTGTGTTTGTGTCGATTGTGAGCTGACAGGAATCTGATAGAGAGAACAAACACAACCCAACTGCAATTATTGATCATTTATTGACACTTTGATGATGACTCATGAATGATTGATGGACAGTTTAAAGATGATTGAATGTGAGCTGCTTTGTTGTCATTAATCCAATGAAAAAACACTTACACTTCCTCAGACCTGGTTTCAACCATCGGACTCCATTAGGCTCCCTGAAAGGAGGAGGGGGGTCAGACCATCAGTGTCTTTCAGCAGGAAAACATGGACATTGTAATAGATCAGATCAGATTCAACTCTGACATGATACTGGAAGAACTGGATATGGGTCATTTGGACTCTGTGACCTGCTGCATACATTGTCTGGTCCATTGTGGGAGAAACCAAACCGATAGAGCAGAATCAAAGCAGACAACATGATGCAGCCTGTACTGTCTGTCAGCTGCTAACAATGAACTATGCTGTATAAAGCTAGCTGATGGTTGAGGAACCTTGGCTCATGTCTGTCAGCCAAGCTGCAGTCAGCCAGGTCTCTGGATGCAATTCTCTTAATTTCCTACTTTGGACATTAAAGAGTCCAAATCAACCAAGCTGACTTTTCCTGTCTCACTACTGAAGGTTCTGCCAAAGCAGACATTACATGGTTTTGTTCTTCTTCTCTCAGAATCCAACAGTCCAACATTTAGACCCTTCCATTTAAATAGAGCCTCTGTTATGTCCTGTCCTGTAGTTTTCATATTATAGGCCAGTTTGAATTCATTATTTTCATTTCATCTTTTTATTCAGGCAGGAGGGGGACACAATCCAGTCTGGTTCTTCATCTCCAGTTTGAAGAGCTCTCACAACATCAAGGTTTATTCATTCCAACATCCACACTGAGACTGAAGCTGATTGATGAGATGAAAGACAATCAAGCAGGTTATTCAGCATCTATCAGCTCTGCTTCCTGGACAAGATGAGCCTCAGCAGCTTCATCTGCTCAAAGATCTTCATCAGAGATCCCTGACCTGTGTGAGATTTGAACTATTAAAGTCCTCTGCTATGATAGGAACAGCATCCAGGTGACTGTTCTGATCTCCACTGAACACATCATGTAATACAGTCAAAGCTCTATTTTTATCTGCCTAAGGTGGAATATAGACCGCTGTGTTAGTTACTGATGGAAACGTTCTGACCCAGAAGGACGTTCAGAGCAAGTAAGGTGCTGGGCAGATGCTCCAGATGTGTTAAATTAGAATGTCCTGATGTTCACACAATCAAACATCTGTTATTAGATACGACACACAGTCCACCACCTGCTGATGTTCCTGCCTTTGCAGTTCTGTCCACCCAGTGCAGGGAAAGAATTTGACCATATCATGTGAGATCCAGAACCACTGGGGTTCACCATGCCTCAGAGAAGCAGACATTGTTCAAATCTCTGATGTTCTGATGGAACTTTGCTGTGGACACAGATGATCCAGTTTGATTTCCAGAAACTGTGGAACCAGCAAAAATCATGCAATGGGAACTGGAATATGGTGTGTTTGTTCACCGGTTGTGGTTCTGACTCCAGCAGGTTCTCCTGTCTTTGCTTTGTCACTATTTGTTTCCTCCTGCTTTGTTCTTTTGAAGTGAGGTGTATCCCTGAAGGCCGACAGGAGACTACAGACTACAACTGAAGGTCCAACAGTCTATGTTCTGAAAGTAGTTAGAACTTAAGTGTTTGGTTAGAGAAGTAAACTTAAAGAGATGTTCCTTCAAAGCCCAGTCGGGTCAGAGGAACCAGGACAGTGTTTTAACTTGGTCACCATGATTCTAAATACGAAAATGAAACAGATGATGAACTAACTGCTGTCTGTTCTGCTGAGAAACTAAGCACTCAGAAGGATTTACTGGAATATCATCAACATAGCATTTAAACCATTTGGCTCTGTGAAAAAGAGAATACTTTTCCTCATTAGAACCAGTTTGATGAATCCTCACCCAAATATTTCCAGTGTCCAGTCTGAACCAGACAGAAACATATCCCCTGAATCTTGGAGATTGTTGTTCTGCAGGTCAACCTCTGTCAGACAGCAGGACTTGGACCTCAGAACTGATGACAGAACTTCACAAGTTCTCCCTGAGAGGTTACAGGATCTAAGTCTGAAAAACAAAACGAAACAAGTCAAAGAAGAAAAAACAGATGTCATTTGGAGAGAACAACTTAGGCTGTTTCTCAATATGTGTATTCCAGCATTCTCGTGCTTGTGTGCTCATGAAACTTCATTAGTGTTGGGATCTGGAGGTCTGTCCACCTTTCTCCAGCAGAGGGCGCCCTAGGTCTCCTGGAGCTGAAGCTGACAACCACACCTGCGGCTCATTTGCTCATCAGGACACCAGCATTCAAGCAGTGGTAGGACTGCATTCCAGTGCCAGAGTGTTAAGCCAGTTACAATTAGCAGGCCTGAGCACACCCGTCTGTCTGATTCTCTGACTCCCCTGAAAACCTGAATCTGAACCTAACTTGTTTTTGTCCTCTCTGCTTCCTAGGAAGAACCAGATTGAACCCTGGAACTCTGGAAGAGTTTCTCAGTTGAAACCTGCCTGCCTGCTCTCAGAAGCACATCTGTGGATCAAACTATCTGAACCTGCCTGCCCACTCTCAAGAAGAGAACTGGAAGAAACTCAGAACCTGAACACTGATAAGTCTGAAGTCGAGCCCTGCCGTTGCCTAGCCCTCTGCAGACCCTCTGCCTCTGGACCCTCCTGGTTCCCTCCCTCAGCCGCTTAGCCAGAACAACATTACAGGTACAGATCTGCACAACTCCTCTGACAAGAGCAATCACATCCTGGCTAACCTAACTATCCCTCTCTGCAATGAATCCTGTGCGATCAGTCCCGGATCTGTTTCCCAGCATCAAGTTTCTCAATAAACAGTCAACCTTTTCATCTGACTCCGTGTGTGTTCTGCATGTGGGTTAGGAACCTAAATCCCATCATGACAATTAGAAAGAGGACAAATAAAGTCCCCGGATGTTGTTCTTGCCTCCCCATCTTTACCGAGCATGCATCAGAGCAGACTTGTCCGTTCTTGAGATTGACAGCTGTCCCAGCATGCACTGCTGCAACAGAAGCTTCCAGTGGAGCGCTAACAAAGCTCGGATTAATAAGTTAAAAGTTATCTTTTCTGTTGCAGTTGTTTTATAAAAGTATGTTTTAAGATCATTTGAGGTGAGAACATTATACTTTTAAGCATTACTATGTAGCCCATTTACTGATTTAGCTTGTATTTTTAAAAAAGACTATGACCTGGGTGACTGAAAACCTTTACCAGCATACTTACTAAAATCGACCAAATAATCTCTAGATTATTATTAGTGTTTCTTCTGGTACAATACAAAGGGTTATTAAGCATGCAGTAGTGCTTCTCCTTTTTTGAAAAGGCAGGCCCCGACCCTTCTCTGTGCTGATATTACTGTAAATGCTTATCATCCACCTTCTGAGAAAGACAGATGATAATAACTAAGTGGATAGAAAGTGAGACACAGGCAGGCATAAAAAGAGAGAGAGAAAAAAGAGAAGGGCTAATAAACGCAATTCAAAAAAGTTAGTAAACATTTTTTTTTGAGATCCAAGCTTTATAGAGCAGCCCAAAAAAAAATCTTGTTTTGGTTTAGAGAACTCTCAAAATGAACCAAAAGAACAAGTCCGCCCTTTCAGAATGGGGACTCATTTGGATTCTTTGTTAGCCCACAATACCTGATAGTGGTATACATAGATATCCATAATAAAGGCTAGATGTCTCGTCCGCGCTGCTGGCCAATGGGGGTCAACGTCCGCACGTGGCAGCCATCTTGCCACAGGCAGCTCGCTCATTCGTAACATTGTGTTTTAAAGGCGCATGTACTTAAATAACCATAACTTCCTGAATTGTCTAATGGGCTCTATGCACAGCTCCACTACTTCCTGAATTTAAGGCAGCTCCTTTGTTTCCTGTCTTTCATTACTGGACGAACTGATTAATCCAGGTGTGTCTGGCCAGTTACTTAGGTCATACACACCTGGATTAATCAGTGCATCCAATCATGAAAGACAGGAAACAAAGGAGCTGCATTAAATTCAGGAAGTAGTGGAGCTGTGCATACAGCCCATTGTTTGGTTTGTAAAACAAAAGTCAGACATGTAGTTATGATACTGCACACTTATGAATAATTATAACCATGGTATTTCATATGAAAAGAACATTGAATAGAACATACAGGTGCAATAAATATACACATGCACAAGGTATTTATGTTAAATCAATATATGCTAATAAAACTCAGTGTACTGAATGGCAACATGATATATAGATATATCTATAGATATCTATATCTATATAGATATCTATATAGATATAGATACCTATATATATATATATGTA